CCCTGCCCACTCCCAGCATGTGTCAGCGTCCCACGGAAAGGTCCCAATCTCTCCTTGCGATCGGGACCTTTAAGTGCCATGACAGCCAATCACAGTGGTCACATGACCCTCTCAGCATCAGAAACCCCTTAAAGGGCCGGAAGGCACCGGTATGAAACTCATTGATGGTTACAGGAAGCCACTGATTTCAGTTATTTTTTTCCAAGGGGGTTTGCTACAAAACATTACATTGAGGGTGCCAGTCATTTGTCCAGTCCATTTTTGGGGTTTTTACGTGGAATGTGTCAGATATGGATTTTTGTTTCTCCACTTTTATTTGTCATACTAATACAAACAAATAAATAAACATGAGAATGCCGAAACATTTGTAATTGCAACAATTTATTGGCGAAGTGGTGCATTATATATATATAAATGCATGCCAATTTTTTTGGCCATGATATATATATATATATATTTATTTATATATGCCATAAGATATTGGTTGTAAGTGTCAGTGCTAGGCTTTCAGTAGGAAGACTATATAAACTTTGATCGCAGTGGACCGCGGAATAGTCCCGATCTCTCCCTGCGATCGGGACCTTGAAGTGCCGTGACAGCCAATCACGGTTGTCACATGACCCTCCCTGCATCAGAAACCCCTTGAAGGGCCGGAAGGCGCCAGTGTGAAACTCAATGATGGTTACAGGAAACCATTGATTTCAGTTATTTTTTCCAAGGGGGTTTGATACAAAATATTATTATTGAGGGTGCCAGTCATTTGTCCAGTCCATTTTTGGGGTTTTTACGTGGAATGTGTCAGATATGGATTTTTGTTTCTCCACTTTTTTGTGTCATACCAATACAAACAAAAGAAATAAACATGAGAACACTGAAACATTTGTAATTGCAACGATTTATTGGGCGAAGTGGTGCATTATATATATAAATGCAGGAGTGCCAATATTTTTGGCCATGACTATATATATATATATATTTATTTATTTATATATGCCATAAGATATTGATTGTAAGTGTCAGTGCTAGGCTTTCAGTAAGAAGACTATATAAACGTTGATCGTAGTGGACCACGGAATAGACCCGATCTCTCCTTGCGTTCGAGACCTTGAAGTGCCGTGACAGCCAATCACGGTTGTCACATGACCCTCCCTGCATCAGAAACCCCTTGAAGTGCCTTGACAGCAAATCACGGCGGTCACGTGATCCTTCCTGCGTCAAAAACCCCTTAAAGGGCCAGGAGGCGCCAGTGTGAAACTCATTGAAGGTTACAGGAAGCCATTGATTTCAGTTATTTTTTCCAAGGGGGTTTGCTACAAAATATTACATTGAGGGTGCCAGTCATTTGTCCAGTCCATTTTTGGGGGTTTTACGTGGAATGTGTCAGATATGGATTTTTGTTTCTCCACTTTTTTGTGTCATACCAATACAAACAAAAGAAATAAACATGAGAATGCTGAAACATTTGCAATTGCAACAATTTATTGGGCGAAGTGGTGCATTATATATATAAATGCAGGAGTGCCAATATTTTTGGCCATGACTATATATATATATATTTATTTATTTATATATGCCATAAGATATTGATTGCAAGTGTCAGTGCTAGGCTTTCAGTAAGAAGACTATATAAACGTTGATCGTAGTGGACCACGGAATAGACCCGATCTCTCCTTGCGTTCGAGACCTTGAAGTGCCGTGACAGCCAATCACGGTTGTCACATGACCCTCCCTGCATCAGAAACCCCTTGAAGTGCCTTGACAGCAAATCACGGCGGTCACGTGATCCTCCCTGCGTCAAAAAACCCTTAAAGGGCCAGGAGGCGCCAGTGTGAAACTCATTGATGGTTACAAGAAACCATTGATTTCAGTTATTTTTTCCAAGGGGGTTTGCTACAAAATATTACGTTGAGGGTGCCAGTCATTTGTCCAGTCCATTTTTGGGGGGTTTTACGTGGAATGTGTAAGATATGAATTTTTGTTTCTCCACTTTTTTGGGTCATATCAATACAAACAAAAGAAATAAACATGAGAATGCCGAAACATTTGTAATTGCAACGATTTATTGGGCGAAGTGGTGCATTATATATATAAATGCAGGAGTGCCAATATTTTGGCTATATATATACATATATATATATATACTATAAGATGTTGGTTGTAAGTGTCAGTGCTAGGCTCTCAGTAAGAAGACTATATAAACTTTGATCGTAGTGGACCACGGAAAAGTCCCGATCTCTCCTTGCCATCGGGACCTTGAAGTGCCTTGACAGCCAATCACATGATCCTCCCTGCGTCAAAAACCCCTTAAAGGGCCGGGAGGCGCCAGTGTGAAACTCATTGAAGGTTACAGGAAGCCATTGATTTCAGTTATTTTTTCCAAGGGGGTTTGCTACAAAATATTACATTGATGGTGCCACTTATTTGTCTAGTCCATTTTTGGTTTTTTTTACGTGGAATGTGTCAGATATGGATTTTTGTTTCTCCACTTTTTGTGTCATACCAATACAAACAAATAAATAAACGTGAGAATGCCGAAACATTTGTAATTGCAACGATTTATTGGGCGAAGTGGTGCATTATATATATAAATGCAGGAGTGCCAATATTTTGGCTATATATATATATATATATATATATATACTATAAGATGTTGGTTGTAAGTGTCAGTGCTAGGCTCTCAGTAAGAAGACTATATAAACTTTGATCGTAGTGGACCACGGAAAAGTCCCGATCTCTCCTTGCCATCGGGACCTTGAAGTGCCTTGACAGCCAATCACATGATCCTCCCTGCGTCAAAAACCCCTTAAAGGGCCGGGAGGCGCCAGTGTGAAACTCATTGAAGGTTACAGGAAGCCATTGATTTCAGTTATTTTTTCCAAGGGGGTTTGCTACAAAATATTACATTGATGGTGCCACTTATTTGTCTAGTCCATTTTTGGTTTTTTTTTACGTGGAATGTGTCAGATATGGATTTTTGTTTCTCCACTTTTTGTGTCATACCAATACAAACAAATAAATAAACGTGAGAATGCCGAAACATTTGTAATTGCAACGATTTATTGGGCGAAGTGGTGCATTATATATATAAAATGCAGGAGTGCCAATATTTTTGGCCATGACTATATATATATATATATATATATATATATATATATATACAATAAGATGTTGGTTGTAAGTGTCAGTGCTAGGCTCTCAGTAAGAAGACTATATAAACTGTGATTGTAGTGGACCACAGAAAAGTCCCTATCTCTCCTTACGATTGGGACCTTTAAGTGCCGTGACAGCCAATCACGGTTGTCACATGATCCTCCCTGCATCAGAAACATTTGTAATTGCAACGATTTATTGGGCGAAGTGGTGCATTATATATATAAATGCAGGAGTGCCTATTTTTGGCCATGACTATATATATATATTTATATATATATATATTTATATATATATATATATATATATATATATATATATATATAGGCTATAAGATATTGGCTGTAAGTGTCAGTGCTAGGCTCTCAGTAAGCAGACTATATAAACTGTGATCGTAGTGGACCACAGGAGTGACAATATTTTTGGCCATGACTATATATATATATACATATATATATATATATATATATATATATATTTAGATATATATATATATATATATATATATATATATATATTTATATAGGCTATAAGATATTGGCTGTAAGTGTCAGTTCTAGGCCCTCATTAAGCAGACTATATAAACTTTGATCGCAGTGGGACCATCTCGGCCCCAGCGCAGGATTTCTGACCTTCCCGTGGAAGGATTAGTATTACATTCACATCCTCTGTGTTTATCCTGCGTGATGTCCCACAAGGTGGGAGCTGAGACTGTCCCTCCGAGCACACAGGCACCTGCTCTGAGAATATTACTCAGTCTTGTCTAAGAATGTGACAATCTGTCACCGACGCCACTGGCAGCAATAGGAGCGAGATGCAGAAATGAAAACACAAGTAATAACAGCCTGAGCTATGTGAAACCAGAATTTATCCGATTGTACCGCATTCAGAAAAAAAAAAATACAAAAGGAAATTGAATCTGCTATAATCTAGATTGCACAATGTATCCTTCTGTTGTTTATTCATTTTCTTTTAGCCGTGTATATAACAATGGAATGATGGCAACTGTTACGTGCACCCCGGCCCCAGACAGCTGTCAATCAAATGTCCTGAACACAGTCATGGATGTACAATGGCCAACTGTGCAGAAGCCAATTAACTTTCCAGTATGTTTTCAGATGGTGGGAAGAAAGCAGAGCACATGGATCAAACACACGCAATCATAACAACAACATATTGGGGGTTATTTACTAAAATCTGGTGCAGCTCTGCACAGAAACCAATCAGCTTCCAGATGTTATTGTCAAAACTTCATTGAACAAGCTGACGATGAAAGCTGATTGGCCACCACGCACGGCTGCGCCAGATTCTGAGTGCTCCAGTTTTAGTAAATCTCTCTCATAGCGTCCTGGTAAGAACTGTACACAAGAACCCAGCGCAGCAAGACGTAGGCTATCATGATGATGTTTTATATGCTTAAAGTGTTACTAAACCCACAACAGTAAAATCAGTCTGTAGATGCAGTAAAGCATGCTTGTTATATTTACCGTGGAACCTAAGGGGTTAATCCTCTGCACTGTGTTAAAACGCTGTTTGATCCTGTCTTCTCTGCCCCTGCCCTTGTTGAAATGACCACCTGATACAGACTGAATCCGTAGTCACATGCACATGCTCAGTTTGGTGTGTATTTCTAGAGAGATTTTTTTTTTTCTTGGTAGAGTGCATGTGACCAGCACAGGGCCAATCAGCACTGTCCAGACAGAGCAGAAAGAAAACTCCTCCTACAAGCATTAACCAGTGTTCTGCTGAAGTCACAAGACTGCTCTGACTGCTGATGAGAAAAGGTATTTAGTAGTTTATATTTACTAAAATAATTGCATTTCCATGTTCTGTGTACTGTGGGAGACCAGATATAGTGAATGCAGGGTCCGGGGGGGAGACCAGATATAGTGAATGCAGGGTCCGGGGAGACCAGATATAGTGAATGCAGGGTCCGGGGAGACCAGATATAGTGAATGCAGGGTCCAGGGAGACCAGATATAGTGAATGCAGGGTCCAGGGTTTAGTATCACTTTAAAGTGGAACTTCCCATTTTGGGGGAGGAGCAATGATTTAAATTTGTTTTTCGAAATGTTTGTTCAATTTAGTTTTCAAATTCAAATTTGTTTTCGAATCGAATCTTGGCTGAACTTTGAGGTGTTTTAATCCTCTGTATTGTGTAAAAAGGTTGTTTGATCTTGTCTTCTTAGATCCTCCCCTTTTTACATTGTCCCCAACTCATCTCTTGATAACAACTCTTTGGAGTCACTCTGCACATGCTCAGTTTGGTGTGTATTGCCAGAGAGGTTTTTTTTGCTTTGGAAGAGTGCATGTGATCAGCACAGGGCCATACAGCACTGCCCAGACAGAGGGACAGGGGTTATGCAGCCTTATAGGACAGTTAGGGGAGAATCAAAACTCCTCCCACGAGCTTTAAAAAAGTGCTCTACTAGACACTGATAGAAGTCACAAGACTGCTCTAACTGCTGATGAGAAAAGGTATTTAGCAGTTTATATTTACTAAAATAATTGCATTTCCATGTTGTGTGTACTGTGGGAGACCAGATATAGTGAATGCAGGGTCTGGGAGAAACCAGATATAGTGAAGGCAGGGTCAGGGGAGACAGGATATAGTGAATTCAGGGTCTGGGGAGACCGGATATAGTGAATGCAGGGTCTGGGGAGACCGGATATAGTGAATGCAGGGTTTGGGGAGACCGGATATAGTGAATGCAGGGTCCGGGGAGACCAGAATAGTGAATGCAGGGTTTGGGGAGACCGGATATAGTGAATGCAGGGTCCGGGGAGACCAGATATAGTGAATGCAGGGTCCGGGGAGACAGGATATAGTGAATGCAGGGTCCGGGGAGACCAGATCTGAGTTGTTGACTTCGTAGGGCAGAGTTCCCTCTTAAAGGCTTCTTGAACTTTTAGTTACATCAAAACAAAAGTGGATTTATAAAAAAAAAAAAACCATGTGCTAATAACACAACATTCTCAGTGCCTTTGAATGCCCGTAATGTGTCTAATATGTTTATTAGACTATGATCATCAGCTCCATCTAGTGGCCATAATGCAGTATTTTTCCAACTGAGGTATTTTAGAAAAATACCACATTGTGACCACTAGATGGCCTTGCTGATCATAATCTAAAAAACATATTAGACAGATTAGAGGGATTACCCCCGGTTCACACCTATGCCGCCGTGTGGGCATGCTCGGGCAGAGAGCCTATTCATTTGAATGGACTCCTGTGTCCGTGACACGCAGGGAAAGAAGTCCCTGCATTTCTTTGGAAAACGCAGCCTGCACGGGAATCTCAGTTCCCAGTACTGTTGTGTTTTCCAGTGCGGGCGGCGTGCCATTAGAATTAATGGCACTCACCTGCGGGTCCGCAATTCTCTGTGCGGGTGGTGCAGCTGCACGGATTTTTGTGCGGATCCGCAGAGGCACCACCCACACAGATCTGAACCTAGGGTTAGTCACAAGGGCTGTGCAAATGTTGAGAAATCTGCACAGCGTATTTTTTTATGAATAGACACTAAGCCATTCAAAGTTAAACAGTTGGTTTACTGTGGAAAGCAGCCACAGGCTGAGTAGAAAAGCCTGTCCCCCTGCCGACATGTTGCAGGTAAGGGTCCTTGCTCTAGGTGCAGAAGCAGAAGTCTCTCTTTGGAGATTTGCCAAGCAGCAATCACTGTAGTTGTATACACATACAGTATATACTTACATTGGTCCAATGTGTCTATGTAAAAATGGCTATACTTAAACTTCAACTTTAAAGACAAATAACTGTTTAACTCAGCAATTGCACTCACCAGCCTCTTTATTAGGTCCACCTGTTCAATTGCTTGGCAACACAAATTGCTAATCAGTCAATCACATGGCAGCAACTCAAAGCATTTAGGCATCTAAATGTGGTGAAGATGACTTGCTGAAGTTCAAACCGAGCATCAGAATGGGGAAGAAAGGGGATTTAACCATTTGCCGCCCGCCCTATGGCCGAATGGCGGCCAGCAAATGTCATCAGCATTCCGGTGGACGCCATATGGCATCCTCCCGCACATGCGCAGATCGCGCTCCTGCAGAGCCGTGCAGCGGCGCGATCTGTCACCGGCCGTGTACCTCGGACCCGGCAGATGACAGATCTGAGTATCGGTCCTCCGTTGCGTGGTACCATGTGACCTGCTGTGACCAATCACAGCAGGTCACATGACAGTTGTATACAATGGATGGTTTCATTTATGCCATCCATCGTATACTAGTGTCTAGCTGTGATTGGTCACAGCTAATCACATGCACATGGTCTGTGGCCCAAATCACAATTAAGCACAAAAAAAAAAACCCGGAATGAATCGATGTCATTCTAGGTAAATGCTTGCTTATAGCAAAGTAATTTTTTGCTATAAGCACAGTAGTAATCACATGGTACATGTCATACATCATGTGAAAAAAAAAATGAAAACAAATTATGTAAAAAAAAAAATATATAGTGTCACCAGTCAGTGTCCCTGAAACTAATTTTTTTAATTTTTTTTTTTTATTTTTTCATTTTCCGAAAAATTATGACAAAAAAAATACAACTTCAAAAAACTTGCCATGCCTCTTATGAAGTACGTCGGGCTGTCTACTCTGCAAAAAGGGGTCATTTGGGGGATATCTGTACTGTTCTGACATTCATGGACCTCTGTTCTGACAATTCAAGAAATTAGATTGGCTGTCAGTACTTCAGGATTGATCAATATTCAGATCTATACCATAGTTTGTGAACTTTATAATTTTCCTACAAACTAAAAAATGCATCCTAATTTGGGTTATTTTCACCAAAGACATGTAGCAGAATACATCTCGGCCTAAATTTCTGAAGAACAATTATTTATTTGCAAACTTTTATAAACAGAAACAAGGAAAAAACGTGTGTTTTTTTCAAACTTTTTTTGGTCTTTTTTTGTTAATTTAGCAAAAAATAAAAACCCCAGCGGTGATTAAATACCAGCAAAAGAAAGCTCTAGTTGTGTGAAGAAAATGATAACATTTTAGTTTGGGTACAATGTTGTATGACCGCGCAATTGTCATTCAAAGTGTGAGAGCGCTGAAACGTGAAAACTGGCCTGGGCAGGAAGGTGTAAAATTACACGGTATTGAATTGGTTAAGTGACTTTGAACATGGTATGGTTGTTGGTGCCAGACTGGCTGGTCTGAGTATTTTAAAAACTGATGATCTACTGGGATTTTCATGCACAACCATCTCTAGGGTTTACACAGAATGGTCCGAAAAAGAGAAAATATCCAGTGAGTGGAAGTTGTGTGGATGAAAATGCCTTGTTGATGTCAGAGGTCAGAGGAGAATGGGCAGACTGGGAGATGATAGAAAGGCAACAGTAATTCAAATAACCACTCGTTACAACTAAGGTATGCAGAATACCATCTCTGAACACAAAACATGTTGAACCTTCAAGAAGACGTGCAACAGCAGCAGAAGACTACACCGGATGCCGCTCCTGTCAGCTAAGAACAGGAAGCAGAGGCTACAATTTGTACAGGCTCACCAAAATTGGACAATAGAAGACTGGAAAAACGTTGCCTGGTCTGATGAGTCTCGATTTCAGCTGCGACATTTAGATTGTGGGGTCAGAATTTGACGTAAACAACATGAAAGCATGGATCCAACATACCTTTTATCAACTGTTCAGGCTGGTGTTGGTGGTGTCATGGTGTCGGGGAGATTTGAGACACTTTGGGCCCCTTAGTACCAACTGAGCATTGTTTAAACTCCATGGCCTACCTGAGTATTGTTGCTCACCATGTCCATTCTTTTATGACTTTATGACTCCAATGTCCCCATCTTCTGATGGCTCCTTCCAGCAGGATAATGCACCATGTCACAAAGCTCAAATCATCTCCAACTGGTTTCTTGAGTTCACTGTACTCCAATGGCCTCCACAGTCACCAGATTTCAATCCAACAGGGCACCTTTGGGATGTGGTGGAATGGGAGTTTCGCATCATGGATGTGCAACCGACAAATTTGGAGCCACTGCATGTTGCTATCATGTCATCAAGGACCAAAAGCTCTGCGGAAGAATGTTTTCAACACCTTGTTGAATCTATGCTATGAAGAATTAAGCTGTTCTGAAGGCAAAAGGAGGTCCAACCCGATACTAGCAAAGTGTACCTAATAAAGCAAGTGCATATTTTCTTGCAGTAAACCAGCTCCAACCCCATTAATAGTTAAATAGGGCAGCAGGAATCTGGAGCATCAAATTTTTCATGAAAATTAGCAAACGTTTAAATGAAACTTTAGCTCTGTTACAACAAGCTTATGGTGACAATTTTACGCAAAAATCAATTGTTTTTGAATGTCATAGGCGGATTACCCCGTAAAGCAGGTGCCTCTCGGCCCTTTAAGGGGTTTCTGATGCCGGGAGGCAGAGCGGGGTTTATGATCATGTTACCACCGCGATTGGCTGTCACAATGGTCACATGACCTGAAAGCACCCAATCGAGACTATTAACCCCCCTCTTGCCCACTCGCCTAGAGGCTGCAGATATGCACCTTGATGGTGCCAAACAGGTTAAGGAGGGGCAGGAAAATGTCCACGATTAAGAACTGGGCAGCCAAAAACATAAAGTAGGGTTGCAAATGTGGACAGAGTGCATGCAGGAATCTGGAGGAAAAGACCGGAACTCCGGCCTGCAAATGGATTTTCCACCACGACAATGCTCCTGCACATGATGCATTTACTGTTCACGAGGCCCCAGAAATCCATTCAAAAACTTGACCAACCACCTTATTATTCTGACTTATCACCCTCCGAAGTTTGGCTGTTTCCAAAATTTAAAAAATGCCTTAAAATGGCACAGATTTGATGACATTACTGGACATCCAGCGCACCGTGACAAAGATACTGTACCGCATTCCAGAAAATTAATTCCAGGAATGTTTTCAGCAGAGGCACAGTTATCTAGAAAAGTGCATTGCTTCACAAGGGGACTACTTTAAAGCTGACAACAGCCGCCAGTATATGGGTAAGCACACATTTATTTTTTTTTTACAGTCCATTCCGGGAATTAAATGGTCACACCGCATATATATTTATTTTTTCCAGACATACAAAACATTGGTCGAAAAATCATTGGTTTCCCTTTAACTGCATGACACTGTTGCTTATATTTGCTTGACGTTTGCTAAATGCATCCTACGAATGTCCACGTACATGAGCCCTGAAGCACGGCTTGTCTGTAGCTCGATTAGACTCACATCTGAAGCCGGCCTCCCGTATTCCCCGCATAATGACAGCATCACAAATAACTGCAAACACTTACCTGTGAAAGCTTTTGAATCTCGGAATCTCGCTAACTATGGCTTCATCAACCTCACGTTACCATGGAAACAGCAGCATCACTTTTTCAAATAAGAAAAGAAAGCGTAATGTGAATATTAACCAAAAAAAAATGGAGCACAAGCTGATATGTCAAGCAAGAGATGTCAACATGTGCCGGAGATATAGTCACTTCGTTCTTCCCCGCCTTTAGAACATGTATAGGGCAGAATGGAAATTGGTTCCCTTTGTTGATGGGACTATACATTATAACAACCTTTTTCAACCTTTTTAACATAAAGGAACCCTTGAAATCACTTCCTAATGCTAAACTCCTGCTAAAAATGACTATATGATATATTAGTGTGATGACCAATGGGAAGAATGCTCCTTACACTTGTGGCCATTGGGAAGAATTAACCCCTTACAGATGACTAAAAATATCAATGGTGTCAGGTGCAACCTCTGGAGGAACCCTGGTTGAGAAACCCTGCATTGTAAGATGGATCAAGTAA